GCTTCATGCAGCGTACCCCGCCCCCCGCCCCCGGCTTTCTTGCGTCCGAGTGGCGACCCCCGTGGCAGAGGTGGCTGGGCTCCCGCGTGTGCAGGGGCAGGGCCTCTCCCAACCGAGCCTGCGGGGCGGGGCTGTGGGCGTCGTCTCCTTGTCCTTCGAGCCGCCTCGTGGTGTCGGGATCCTCCCTGGCAGCAGCCTTTGCTTTGATTCCCACTGAGTTAGTGGCGTGGGTCCCGGGGTGGCCCCTCCTGGGTAGGGGCGGGGGTCAGGTCACATGTGTGTCCCTCAAGAATTTGGTCCTCAGACCCTGGGGGTCTTTTAAAGCCTATGCATTTTGGGGTTCTCGGAAATACTGGCTAGTGGCCCTGTCTCGGGGGCGGTGAGTAGTAACTCAGAGCTGGTGTTAGACTCGTGACACCCAGTCAGCCCTTGTCCTCTCTTGCCGTGCAAAGTCCTATACTATTTTGAATCTCCAGACACGTCTGAATCTCAAGCTTCTGTTTTGAATTATCTCTTGTCGCCCACTGATGCGACCTCACAGTGTCATGTGGACGTCCCGGTGGCCGCTTCCCTCTGCAGGTGCCCTGGTCGGCTTCCCTGGGACGGGTCGGCCGCAGCAGCACAGCGCTGGCAGGATTCCAGCCCCCAGCGCCCAGCCCCTGAGCACAGGGTGCGGCCGTTTGCACGTAGGGAGGGGCTTGCTCGCCCCCTGGGCATGTTAGGTGCACAGGGAGCCGGTGCTCAGGCTGGTTCCATCGGGGCATTAGTTCTAGTGCTGCCATGCTCTGGGGTGGGGGTGGGGATCAGGGGCGAGCGTGACGGTGGCAGCCGTGTGGCAACAAAGGAGCCTCGGGCCTGGTCGTGCTCCCGGAGCGAGGGTGCCCCATCACACCGGTCAGGACTCGGGGCTGCGCCGCCCGCAAGCACAGCGTCAGGGACGGGGTCCCCTCCTTTCCTCGGGGTGCTGCCTGGCACTTCTCTCTGGGACGGCGGCTGGGGGCGGTTCCCACCCGCGAGCCCCTAGTTAAGTAACGCGGCCGGACCCCTCGGAGTCCCAGCCCGCTCTCCCAGCCGCGTGCCCTTCGGCCTCTGCCCAGGGTACCTCCGCAGTCTGGGCGTGGCTGCCGCCCCCGGCGGCTCTGCTCAGCAGCGTGGCCTGGACTTAGCGGGGCCGGGGCTTCCGAGGATCATTTGATGATCAGTGAAGGCAGAATGGTATTGGGACGGAGTGTCGGGACGTGCGGTTCTGAAGGGCTGAGGTCTACGTCCTGCCCCAGCTGACAGAGGCCCCTCGGCAGGGCCGTCCTGCGCCTGTTGGGCTGACCATGAAGGCATGAACAGTGTCTGACCACCTGCCCTGCAGGTGTTTCTCAAACTGGCCAGAGAAGAATCTGCTGGGACCTGATCAAGGCCGATTCCCAGGCCCTGGCCTGTTCAGCCCGTCCGGGGCCCCTGGAATGTGTATTCTCCACTGGGGCTCGGGTGATGCGACGTGGCTGCCCCGGAGAAGAGTGCTCTCGGGAACGGGGACCAACCGTGTCCCAGGGAACCGCCCTCCTAAGTCGTCCCCTGCGGCTGTCCCTACACGGAGGCGCCGAGGCCGGCCTTGGCCGTGCAGTGGGGGGCCTGGGCTCAGCTGCTCAGAGCTGCTACCCGTGAGAGGCAGGCGAGGGCAGGTCTGCGAGCAAGGCTGGGCCGGAGCCTCAGAAGGGAGGTGGCCACGGCAGCGCGCTCAGCGGTGGTGCTCCCAGCACCGGCTTGATTGATGTCCGGTCGCGCCCCCTCCCGGAGCCCACGTCCTCCTGTGAGGACGGTGATGGAGGAGGAGGGTAGAGGCTGTACCTCCAGGGCTGCTGCACGGGCAGCTGTATGACCCGCCTGATGCCTGCCGGGACTCTGCCTGGGCCCGCCGCCTTCTCCCGTGCGCCCCCGCACCCATGGCCCTGCCCTCGGGGCTCTTCCCTTGCTCGCCGGTCATCTCTGTTGCGCCTTCGGTGGAGACTACGCGGCTCCAGACTATGCAGGTCCTCGGGCTGCACGCCGCCCTCCTCCACGTTCTTCCTGTTCCCTTTGCATCTGGGAACCGCCTCCGCCTTCCACCCTTCTTTCTGGGTCCTCAGGAGACAGAGGGCGGGTGCCCTGGCCGGCCGAGAGGTCTTGGCACCTGGCCTGCTGGCCCATGTAAACGAGTCACTACTGACCCCTGGTGCCAGGAACGTCTACCTGCAGTGATCCCTAGTGCCAGGGTTTCCCCAGGGGTGGACGGGCAGCACACGGCGCAGGGTGCGCGGGGCTGCGGAGACCTGGATGAGGTTTGCACACAGGACTCGGGGTGGGGGGGGCGGCCCAATTAGGAGGAGTTGGGGTTGGACGGTGGCCTTGAATGTGGACCGAGTGCTGTGCAAGCTGTGTGTAGTGTCACCTGCTAAGAGCTGGCTTGGGGAGGTGCAATTGGCACAGCGTTGGGGGGCGGCCGAAGGCAGGAGCCCAGCAGAGAATGGGATGGAGGAGGGAACCCAGGAGGTGGGCAGGCGGGGCTGGCTTTGCAGAGGGCTGTGACGACTGGGGCGTGGTGGGGGGCTGGACTGACCACGTGCCCCTCCCCGGGCCCGGGCCGTGGGCCAGGTGCCCTGGAGGCAGTGGTCAAGGCCGGCGAGACCTGTGGGGTAGGGAGAAGGGGGTAAGAAAATCAAACCAGGTGACTCCGAGAGTGACCACTATGATGGGGAAATGAGCAGGGTGTTAGGACGGAGGGTCAGGGAAGGTCTCTAAACCGCGTGACAAGGGCAGCCCCTTGCGGGGAGCAGGCGGCGCCGAGAGCCTGGAGCAGCATGAACAGGCCATGGGGCGACGACCAGGGCCTGGCGGCCACCTCTGTGCAACAGGAGCCGCTGAAGGCTTGAAGCAGGGTGCGACACCACCTGATCTCCCAACCACCCGACCTGGCGGTGAAGAGTCGTGTTGGCGGGGGACAGTGCAGTCCATCGGGGGCGGCCATCCCCGGAGGCAGTGAGATGCGCCGAGGTTTGGAATCGGCCTGAGAGAGAAGCGAGGCGAACTTGTGGACCTGGGGGCCAGGATGGGCAGAGGCGGGTTTCGCGTTCACAGCTGCTGTGACACTGAGGTGTGAGGTCACCAGCTCCGGGGGCAGAGGGTTGATGGCCACTTCTGCGCAGGTGTGGGGAGAAGACGCAGCAGGGAGAGCTCAGTCTTGGACGTGTCAGGGCCCTTGAAGGACATGTAGTGGGTGCACTGGTCTGGGCGGGGGGCATGGCTGGGCTAGAGAGACATAGGGGCCCGGGAACCCGTGTGCCCGCCCAGGACCGTAAGTGGAGTGAGCTTCGGGGATGGGGGCGGGGGGCTGGTCTGGGAGCATCAGGGCTCCCAGAGAGGTGGGAAGCAGGCCAAGCGCTGTCCCTGGGCTGCAGCTGGGACGGTGGTGGCAGGTTCTTGGGGAGAACATGGGGTGGCATGAGAGGAGGCAGCGTGTGGGAAATGGGGGTCTGAGGAGGGTAAAGGCGGGCTCCGGGCTGTGGGTGGAGAGCCTAGCACTGGGGACCTTGAGTGGGGCAAGGGCCGCAGGGTGCTGGCCATGCACCGGGGTTGGGCGGAGAGCAGGGGGCATGTGACCCAGGACCCAGCTGCAGGGCCCAGAACCTCCCTGGCACAAGGCTTGGCCTGGCCAGCAGTTCAGGCCTGGGGTGGGGGTCAGGGGTCGGGTGGGCGTGGACACCGAGGCCCTTTTCTGTGTGGCGCTGTCCTCCACTCACATGGTGCAAGGGTGGGGGTGAGCACAGATGCTTCCCCTGCCTCCCCCATCCTTCCCCTTTGAGCATGTGCTTATCAGCACACAGGGACGTCCCCTGCCTTAGGGCGAATGACATCTGCCGCATTTGGTGGTGGGACTGAGGCGGAGCCTCAGACTCTCCGGGGTGCAACACTGAGCAGAGTTGAGGGGTCTGGGAGCCTCCCTGCCCTAGTCCAGGAGGGCAGATCCAGGAAGGTCTTCACAAGGCGGGGCATTTACCAGGAAAGCAGCTTGGCTCCTGGGGCCCCCGACTGTCCAGCAGCCCTGGTCACACCCTGGTACTCAGGGCCAGCTGGGGGCAAGCGGGAGGGGGCCGTGTCCCATGTACCTGTGGGCGCGGTGTGGGGACTGTTCCTGTCCGAACACAAGCTCCTTAGCCTGTCACCCCTGAGGGCTGGGCGGGAGGAAACCTGCCTCGATCGAGCAGGAGAGTGTCTGGGTGCGTGGCAGGAAGCACTTCTGATGTTCGGAAGCAGAGAAAGGTGAGAGGTCAGGTTTCCCTTTCATCTGCAGTAGGCGGCCTGGTATATCGGAAGAGACATTCTGTACTGCAAACAGGGACACCAGGCTGGAGGGTGCCCACAGCCCCCCAGCTGCCAAGTGCCAAGACCACAGTTGGACTCCTCCTGCTTGGGTTTGGCCCAGGTCATGGTCAGCAGCAGCAGGGCAGACCGGGGGTGGTGTGGCCCCAGCCTCGTGCCCACCGCAGCCCCCAGGTCCCAGGGGTCGCTCGCTGTGGGCCCCAGTGCCTGTCAGCGGCTCACTCTCCCTTCTCCCGCATCAGCCTCGGCAACTGCAGGGCTTCATCCTCCCCACCATGCTCCCCTCCCTGGATTCCTTGGTGGCCTGTGACTGAGCAGGTGCAAGAGCTGTCCGCTGGCCAGGATTAAGCTCCTCCCTTTGGTGTCTGGTGGCCAAACCAGAGCTTCTGGCTGGATCCTGGAGGGCAGCAGTGGACCTAGGTGGACCTAGAAGGGCAGTGCCTGCTCTCCCCGTGCCCCAAGGGCGCCCAGAGCATCAGCCCCGAGTGCGGGGCGCGATCCAGCTCTTAGGGCCACTGTGGGACTCCGGCCTGCAGTGTCCTGCGTGTACTTACAGGTGCTGCTGGCCCTGCCCTTGCCCTCCCCGCAGGGCCCCCCCTGCTCAGAGAACTAGACTGCTCCACCACGGTGCTCAGCAAACTGAACTTCTTTATTAAGTGCCAAGGTCCAGGCGGGCACTGCCCGCTGCAGCCTCTCTGACGAGGTCTGTGCCTGGAGCGTCCCGGGTCCCCCTGCAGGGCAGCAGCGCCGGGCGCTCACTTCACGTGCTCGGCCGCATGCGAGGAGCAGTAATACTTCTTGTGGGCGATGAAGGTGGACAGGCTGCTGAACCTGATGTTGCACAGGCGACAGTACCTGTGGTTGCCGTTGGGCACGGAGGCCGGCGTCCCCTGGCTGGGGGTCTGTACGCCTTTGTCCGACTGGGAAGGGGGTGCCGGCACGGCCTCGGGGGACGTGGCTGGGGGCGGGCCGGGCCGGGGGCTGCCGGCGGGCGGCTCCCAAGGGTCCTGGCCATTGAGGCCGTCGCGGGGGGCGGCGGGCGAAGGCGTCCGGGCCTCGGCGCCAGGGCCGGAGCCGGCCGTGGGCTTGCCCAGCAGCAGGCCGTGCGCCAGGCGGAAGTGCTCGATGAGGTCGCCGCGCACCACGCCGTTCGGGGGGCAGTAGGGACAGACGATGGCGGGCGGGTCCTCGGGGGCGGCGCGCAGGCGGCGCGGGGCGGAGGGGCACGAGAACTTCTTGTGCGCCAAGTACGCCTCGAGGCTGTGGAAGCTCACGCGGCAGGCTGTGCACTCGTGGTAGTCGGCCAGGGCCGGTAGGCCGGGCGCAGGGCCTGGGGCGGCGGCGGGAGCCTGGCGCCGCGGCTTTTTGCTCAGGTCGATGGGGCCTTCCGCCGGGTCTGGACCGCTTCCGCTTCCGCCTCCGTTTCCGCTTCCGGGCCGCGGCGCCGGCGACGCAGGCGGCGTGGGGGCGTGGCCTGGCGCGACGGGCTGGGCGGGTCCGACCGGGGGCGGGGCGGGTCCGGCCACGTGCAGTTCGTAGAGCTTGCGGCGCCTGCGCGTGCGCACGGGCGGCGCAGCGGGCGCGGGGGTCGCGGCGGTTCCGGCGGGCGCAGGCCGGCGCGGCGGCGGGTCGTGACGAGAGGCGCAGTAGTACCGCTTGTGCACCGTATAGGTCTCGTGGCGGCTGAAACGGATGTTGCAGGCCTCGCACAGCGTCCGGCGGGGGTCGTCGTCCTCGTCTGCCCCGCTGCCCGGGCTTGGGCTGCCTTCGCTGCCCCGGCCGCCCGCCTCGGCCTCGGCCTCCGCCTCGGGCGTAGCCGCGCCCCCCGCCTCGTCCTCGCGCGCCCCGGGGCCCGGCGGTGAGCGCTGCTCGTCGGCCTCGGCGGGCGGCGGGGCGGGGGGCGCGCGCGGCGGGGCTGGGGCCGCCTTGGGCCGGCGGGCAGGGGGCGTGTCGTCGGGCGGGCGGCGGCCGGAGCAGTAGAGGCGCTTGTGCACGTAGAAGTTGTTGACGTTGTTGAAGGTGATGTCGCAGTCGAAGCACGTGGCGCCCTTGGGGGCCCCCGTGAAGAGGCCAGCCGGCGCGCCCACCCCCGCGCCCGCCTGCAGCCGGCTGTGCACCAGCTCGGACATTTTGGCCAGGATCTCGGAGGCAGGCGGCGCCGTGGGCAACTGCGGCAGGAAGAGCGCGCCGGGCCCTGGGCTGGAGCCGGGCGTGGGGCTGGACAGCTCCGCTTTCACGCGGACGGGGCTGGGGCCGGCGCTGGGCGGTGATGGCGTCCGCGACAGGGCCGGGGGCCCTGGCTCCGCCTCGGGCTCCTCTGCCGCCTCCACCTTGATGCTCCTGGGGGTCGCCGGGGGCTCGCCGCCACCCCCGTTCTGGGGGCCCGGTCTGGTCTCTCCGTTGGTGGTCTCTGCCAGGGCCTTCCTGTCCAGTCCCGGTGATGGGGCGGGCACCAGACCCAGGTCTGCAGAGGCCAGGGGGCCGTGCAGCGCCGTGTGCTGCTGGAAGGCGGCCAGACTGTCTGCGGGGAGACGCCAGGGGCCACACTTCAGGCCTGGAGCAGGACCTGCCTGGGCCAGACCTGAAGCTGGGGAGGGCGGGAAGGGAGAGCTGGGCTGGGCGCAGAGGTGGTGGAGGGTCGAGGCCGAAACCCACCCCCCCCCCCCCTGGGCCGGGCCTGCTTCCCCCTTCCCAGTCCTCAGGGTCACCAGGGGCTCACCTGCGGGGAGCTTGGCAGTGGGGTGCCCAGCCCCTGATGAGTAGATCTCAACCTTAGAGCCGGGCTGGCAGACCATGTGGTTGGTCACTAGGTGGCTGTAGAGGATGTCCCTCGTGGTGGAGATGAAGCCGCAGCTGTGGCACACACCTGCAGGTGGGCTGTGGTGTCAGAGCCCTGCCGGTGGCTGTGCCCCACAGACCCCGCCGCCCCCTTCCTGGCCCCGCTTACCCGTCAGCGTGTCTGTGTGCACCTTGAGGTGCCGCTCGCAGTTGGCCTTGGTGGTGAAGGCGGACAGGCAGATGAGACACACGAAGGGGCGCTCTCCTGGAACACGGGGCCTGGTAAGGGAGCCTAGCCAGCCGAGGACTACGGTACGGGCACGTGTGGAGGGCCCCTAAGCTCTGCCTCCTAGGACCCCATCGGGGGCCCAGCCCTCAGCCGACCACCCAGCCGGTCGCAGGCGGGGCGCGTGGCCTGGGGCCCTGTGGGAGGCTGCTCGGCGTGGTGGGAGGACCACTCGGGCACGTCCACGGCAGTTGTGCAACCCCAGGAAAAATGCAGTGAGCATGCATGGCTTGGGTGGGGAGACACGCTGTTGGGGGCGGGGCTCACCGCTGTGGCTGCGCATGTGGATCTCCAGGGAGCTGGCGCTGGGGCAGCTTTTGCGGCACTGGGGGAAGGGGCAGACCCGCTCGTTGGGGTGGGTCTCCTTGGGCTTCTCATCGGGGGCGGCCGCAGCGGGGGAGCTGGTGCCCTGGCGGCTGGCGCAGTAGTACAGGAGGTGGGCTTGTAGGTTCCGCTCGCTGCGGTACCAGATGCCGCAGTCCTTGCAGGGAAAGACGTCTTCTGCGGGCGGGAGAGGCGGGTGCAGCCTGAGGGGTGCCCCGGCAGCAGCGCTGGCCGCCTAGCACCCGGGGCAGGCCGTGGGCCTTCTGCAACACGAGGGCTGTGCCCCGGCGTCTGCCAGCTTGGGGGGGTGGGGTTTGTGACCTGGGCTGTCCCTCTTCACTGCTTTGCCTTCTCAGGTGTCCCTTGGTAACTCCGTGTCCCCTCTCTACGGATCTTCAGGATGCTATGGGGACTTGCGGATGGGGTGTGAGTGACCCCGAGGGTGGCCCCTGGGCTGCGTCCCGACAGGGAGCCCCATAAGGAGACACTGTGGTCTCTTGGGGGTGCCCACGGAAGAAGCGAGGCTGGGGTCCGTGACCTAATTGTCTCTGTGACTTGGCGGGGGCGACGGGACTTGCGGGCTGGCGTGGAGCTGGGTGCCCGTGGAGGAGGACGAGGAGACAGGTGTGTGCGTGTGAGCAGGTGTGTGGGCCGCTGGGTGCCTGAGTCCCCAAGCACTGGGGCAGCAGGGCGAGAGGTGAGCGTGGCTCTGGGTAGGCAGGGGGCTGAGGCCAGGAGCTGCAGAGCGCGAGGAGCCTCCCGGTGCACCGCCCTTCCCCGCCCCCCCCCCATACACCTGATGGCTCTTTGGTCAGAACTTCCTGAATTCACCACATTTAACCCAAGTGGGCTGCCTCTACCTTTGCGGTTTAGGGTTTGGATGGCGGGGGTGATTTGCCAGCTGGTGAGCATTCTCTGGTGGGTGCTTCAGCAGAATGATAAGGAATGTTTTGTTGTTTCTGTCCCTGCTCCTTGGCCAGCCACCCCTTGGCTGAACCCAGGGCAGGGGGGAGACCTTGTTCTGGGTCTCGACCTTGACCTTCACACAGAATGGAGGGGGCACTTGTGCGGGTTAGGACGTATTTCAGCCCGTTGGTTGGCAGTACTGAACAGGTGGTCTGCCTGCCCCCCGGGGGCTGCCAGGTTTCTACCTTCTGCCTCTCTTCAGGAATTTAGTACCTGTCTGTCAAGTGAGGTGGGCACTCCTCATGCCCCTGTGCCTGCAGTGTTTCCGGCTCAACTCTTCGTACTGTGTTATTTTTCTGGTTTTCAAGTTCCCTTTTATTTGGGGGTTTGGGGGTCTCAAGGCAGCGCTGAGGCCTTGAGCTGGGATCTGGGTCTGAGGGGCTTCTGCTGGTATCTGCAGGGTCAGTGCTGGGGACTGTGCTGCTGCTTGCGGCATAGCAAAGGGACTGGGAGGCCGTGTGGGCCCCAGCCCCGGCCCTAAAACTTAGCAAGGACGGTCGTCGCCCCACCAACCCAGGGCTGACCTCGGGCCAAGTCCCGGGTGGATGCAGCCCAGGTAACCCGCACAGAGACCTCAAGACCGGCATTACCTTTACTGCTTCCACAGATGAGAAAACAGGCCCAGAGTGGTGGAGTCTCAATTAAACCGGGTCTGATTGACTTTGGAGCTCGGGTTCTGAAAGCCCTTCTAGACCACCAGTAGGAGAGGCCCATGTGGGGTTGGTATAAACGATGTCTAGCCCACCATGCCCTCACAGGTGTCAGACCCGAGGGGAGGGAAACCGAGGCCCAGAGAGGCTGCTCCTGGGCAGGCTTGAGAGGAAGCCCTCCAGCACCTGGGGCTCCCTGCCCCCCCCCCCCCACCTACCCACCCAAAAGAGACAGAGAGGCAGCCCCCCGGACACCAGATGCCATTCCCTGCCCTGGTGGGGTGACCCTTCCATCCAGCACCCTTCTTTCCTGAAACCTCAACGTCAGACAAGACCCCTGTTTGCTCACCACCACCCTCTCAGCTCCCCTGCAGGACCCCATTCTCCCTGGGGCAGTGGCCTTGCCCTGTCCGGCCCAGTCCCTCCATGCAGGCTCTGGGGACGGGCCACCCGCCTGTGCTTGTCCCCCCCCCTCCGGTGTCACCCTCCTCACTTGGCTGCCAGCGTCTGGGTCACGGTGACCTCCGTGCTGCCTGCCCTTGCTCTCAACACAGCTGGGACACGGCGGGCCACTGGCAGATGCCTCCCCTCACCCCTGGCTCTAGTGTCTCCTGTCTCTCTCTGGGGCCTCGTCCTGCCTGGAGCTCCCCAACTCTGACCGCACCCTGAGCCCCAGCACGTGTCCCCCAGTCGCCTCCTGGGCTCCACTTAGTGCCCAACAGGCGTCTCGGGTCAGGTGCTCAGAACGGGCCCTCCACCCTGACTGCGATGGGACGGACAGTGTCCGCCCCACGGCCGTGCTGCAGCCCCAGCCTCACGCTGCCGCTTCCCCCCCGCCCCCCCAGCAGGCCCTGTTCACTCCAGTGCCCCTCTGGCCTCTGCCGTGGCGCCTCCACCTGCTTAAAGCCGTCATCACGTTTGACCTGCTTAAAAAGGTCACTTTTCTCCCAATTTTATAACCCTACAGTCTCCAATTTTATAACCCTACAGTCTCCCTCTAGCACCCATGCAATTTTAGAACTGAATAGGGTCGTCTTTGCTGCCTGAAAGCCCCCTGCCGCGGTCGTTTCTCTGAGAAGGAGTCCCAGCCCTGGTCCGGGGCCGTCCGCTCAGCTGCTCTCCCCGGCACGCGGGTCTCCCGAGCCCCCCAGCCACTGCCCACATCACCACTTGCCCTCCTTCGTGGATGTGCCTGCGGCCGCCTGCCCCCTCAGGGCGGGCAGCTGTCCCCACCTCGCTAACCCCAGCGCCTTGACCGCTTGGTTCGGTGTGGACGTTGAACAAGGATTTGAGAAATGAGAAACGAGTGAATCTCATCGGTTCTCAGACCCTCTGCTGCTTGTAGGGAGGAGTGACAAACGTGGTCCCTCCACTGCAGCTCTTCTCACTGGCGGCTCTGCCCCAGGGGACACATGCACCCCACGGTGCATGTGTCCCAGACTCCACCCCTGCCCCGCGCGGCCTCTCCAGCTGGTGACCTAGAAGGGCCTTCCGGACCCCGCGGAGCGTGTGCCAGAGGCGCTGTGGTGAGAAGCCCGCTCTGCTGCAGAGCCTCCGGGAAGGCTGTGGGCCCGCCCCCCCGTCAGCATCTGGGAGCTCACCACGTGGCCCCCTGCACGCTGACTGCACCCTGGAGCCCCTCCTGGAACCCCACTGCTAGGCCCCCGCGCATGCCCCCGGGGCACACGCCCTCCTCTGCTCGGGTGGCAGTGGTGACCAGTCTTTGCAGATCCTGAGATGGGCACCGCCTGCAGCTCTGAGCCTGGGGTGGGGGGCGGGCAGGCAGCGGGTTACTCACTGTTGACAACTGCAGTCGCGAGGATGGACGCCATGCCCGCCTGCTGGGGCAGGAGCTGGATGTCGGTGGCGGGGGAGGGGGCCAGACCCTCGGGCTCCACTGGCTCCTTCACAGGCTGGCTGGGGGCACTGTGGGGCTCGGCCGCGAGGAGTACGCTCAGCTGTCCGCCCGCGGCCACCGGCCTGGTGAGCCTGCACCAGAGGGCGCCATCTGCGGGGGGAGGGCGTCTGTGACGGGGCGCCGGCAGCTCTAGGCCACCACGGCCGCGCCTCTGCAAAGACCCCTGCCCATCTTATCCTCCTGATGCCCTCTGCGCCGCCCCAGCTTAGGCATGGGGGTTCCGAAGCCGGCGTGGTGGCCGGGGCGAAGCCACACCCGGGTTCGCAGCTGTGGCCGGCTGGTTTCCGTGGCGCACCTGCCTCCTCAGGGCAACTAGGTGTTGCCTGCTCTTTGGGCCTCCCTGCCTGTGTCTGTCGGAGCGGGAGGGCCCTCTTCGGGGAGAGGGGAGCAGAGCGGCCGGGAGGGCTTGGGAGCCGCTCACCTGCGCCCTAGAAAGGCCTCCCAGCTCCTCGCTACTCAGCCAGCATGGCTGTTGCCACGGTGGCCAGCGGGGGGCAGCCTTGGCCAACAGGACGCGGGCTGAGCTGCCCACGGGACCAGGCCACCTGGCTAGCATCAGCACCACAGGGACCCTTGTCCTGCCCAGGCAGATGAACCCTGTTGACCAGGCGAGCAGGGGGGGGCAGGCCAGGCACTGCTAACTGGGCTACGTCCCCGCCAGGTGTACGTACCCCCAGCTGGGCACTGGCTCTGTCCCTGTCCTGAAACAAGGCTGCCCACAGGACATTTTAGTCCAGTGTGCTCAGGAGGGGAGGCGATGGTGACACCCCCAGAACATTCTACCAAAGCGGAGCCCCCCCGCCCCAGAAGAAGGAGGTGGATTTCCCGTGGCCATGTGGTGGATGGCTCTTGCTGTCACGTGTCTATCCGCACATCCTCCCTGAGCTGCCTCATCTGTAATGGGGGGGGGGGCACCCCGCCCTCCCAGGGCCACTCCTGGAAAGTGCAGGTTTGCAGGAGGGATGTGGGGCGTGGAGCTTTCCTCGGCTTCACAAAACAGAGGCCCCAGAAGGTGAGGGGACCTGTCCCAGGCCCCCCAGCTGGGTTTGGACATGGCCCTCCTGACCACTCCTGGAGGGAGTCAGGCCGCACAGGGCCCTGGTCCAGCGGGCACCCCCAGGTGGGCCCACCAGGCCCTGCCAGTGTCCACTGTCCCTGTGGTCTCCCAGAGGCCCTGAGGGCAGTCCTGGCCTGGGCCCGCTCTCCCCGACCCCCGGGGCTGACACCTGTCCAGCCCTAGGCAAGCATTAATGGGGGCACTGGGCATGTGGTGGCAGCGGTGGCCAGCCCCTCGGCCCGGCCCAAGCAGGCTGGTTTCCCTTTAAGAGCCGGCCCAGGGGGAGCCATGACGCCCCACCCTCCGGAAGGCAGTGAGGGAAACGCCAGGATACCAACCCTTCCTGTAGATCTCCGAGTTGGCTTCGGCCTCGGTCAGGGCCTGGGGCAGCGTCCTCAGCCAGCAGGCCTCATCCTCCAGCAGCAGGGTCAGGGCCGGGCTCTGGGGGCGGGGAGGGGGGTCAGCAGGACCCAGCAGGAGAGAGGCTGGGCGGGGCAGCGGGGGGCTCCCTGTGAGGGATGCCTGAGAGTCTACCCCGTGGGCGCCCTGTCCAGGCTGCGGGTCCTCGCCAAGCACTGGCAACACGCATGCAGCAGGGATCCAGTGCCTGCCACGGGTCAGGTGCTAGTTTCCCTTGGAAACTGAGGCCCAGAGAGGTGGAGCAACTTGCCTAAGGTTACACAGCCAGTGAGTGGCAGAGCGGGGAGGCACACCCGGACCTCCGTTCTTGCTGCCCCCTCCCTGGTGGGGCACTGGACCGGACGCAGGCTCCTCCCACACAGGCCCCCAGAGACCTACAGAGTAAGCAGGCCCACCTTCGTCCAGTCCATCCTGGGGCCCATAGACGTCTCGTCCCATCCCGGGCAGCAAGACGTCCCCCCACCGAGGCTGGCTCAGCACCTGGCCTCCCTGCGGCCCGCAGACCGTGGTCAGCCCCTCGCCCAGACACGCTCTCTCCGGCGGCCTGGTCTGCGAGCCAGGCCTCTGCAGCGCCCAGAGCAGAAGAGCACTCCTCACTCGGGGCTGCCAGCGGCCCCCAGAAGGGGTGGCCTGATTTCTCCCCCACCCTCCCCAGGCGGCACTGCAAACATACGTCCCCTGTCCCACATGGTTCTGGGAGGGGGCTGGCCCTTGCCACACGGAGGCGATGAGGTACAGACCCTGGCCCTGACTGGCCGCAGAAAGGGTGAGACCGCAGCCGCCCCTCAGGCCACAGCCCCAGGGCTGGATGGGTTGTGGACGGCTCCTCTCCTGCAGGGGGTCCCCAAGCTCCGCCACTGGGCGCCGTGTGGAAAAGCACAGCACATTCGTGTCTGAGTATTTTCTTTGTTTTATGCAAATAAAAGCTTTTTAGTCAAACTGTGTATCAGAACCTCTAACTCAAGGACCAGTGTCACTTGCCGTCACCTGGATGGGGGCACCTGGCCAGGAAGCTACGGGATGGCTGGAACAAGTGACACATGGGAGGTCCCCTGACGTGTTCTGGGCACCTCCCCGCCTGGTCCAAGACCGCGGCTTTACTGAGCTTTGCCTGCAGGGAGCACGTGGGCTCCAGAGCTGGGCATCGGGTCCAGTCCAGACTCCCTGACTGTGCCCAATAGCACCATGCCCGCCCTCCCTGGGCCCGGCACCTCTGCCAAACGGCAATGCCCCGAGCCCGTGGGCTCCCTCCACCGTCCTTGTGCTGCCACCTGCTCTGGGGGTGGGTCACATCCCTCTTTGACTCAGTCACCCCGGAGCACTGGGAAGTGGAAGCCTGTGTGAAGCCCTCCTTTCAGACAGTGCCCGCCTGGCACGTGACAAACACAGGACAAACAGGAGTCCTGCCACCCTTGCTTCTCCATTCCCTGGGCCCGCAGGACACGGTGGGCAGAGGCTGTGCCTTCGGACCTAGGAGGCTGATGTCCACTGGGGCGGCAGGCCAGCAACCCCCAGGTATCAACTGGGGGCGAGTGTCTCCACCAAGCAGCATGCTTTAACGGACAGCTGCAGACCTGGGGGTCCCCGTCACCCACAGCTGGGGACAGGCTGGGGACAGGCTGGGGGGCCAAAGCGGAACCGGGGGCGGTGCTGGCACAGCAGCGATTGACCGGCGGCGCCCACGTCCCAGCTATCCTGACCTGGGCCAGCAGAGAGGCGGAGGCCAGGGTCTCCCTGAGTCTCTAATGAATATTAATGAGTGGAGGAGGGAGAAAAAAAATTAATCTGCCTGATCCTTTGATGGGTGCTGCGGTAACGATATGAAATCTAATTATTCGTCCCAATATTTCTAAACCCTCAAACTGAGACTGACAGCCTCCCGGTCGGTTTAATGCTTATCACTCCCGGGAGCGGCGTGTTCGCGGCATGATAAAAGCGGCCGCGCACAGCTCTGCTGACGCTGCAGAACCCCTGAATTTTCCGCGTCCATCTGAGTGGAGGGGAGACGGCGGCGCTGTGTTCCCGGCTGTGTGCCTCCTGCTGGGAGCAGCCACTCGCCTGGTGGCTGCCCTGGGCGGGTGAGGGGCAGGGGACGTGGGGGACCTGGAGGGGGCTTGCATCCTGCACCCCACGCCTGACTCACAGGAGGGAGAGGGGCCAGGAGATCCAGGCCGTACGACCACCAGACCCTTCACCCTCGTTCCCTCAGCCCTTAACACTGGGGGGCCCTGGCCCCCACTTAAATGGGGCAGGCTGGGCCCACCATCACCAGCCTCCCTGCCTGCGCATGGACCCTAGGGGTGCAGGAGCCGGCGCCCCACGGCTCCGGGGAGAGGAGCACGGCCATGCCCAGTCTGCCCCTGTCCCCGTCCCTGTGGGGTGGCAACGCACACTGTCCCGGGCAGCTGGACCCTGCCGTGCGCTAGGGCTACAGCTCGACCCCTGCCCCATTATTTATTTTCTCCCCCCATCCCCCAATTCCAAGCAGCCCTGGAACAGAAGCCCTTTTCTCTGGTGGTCAGAGGCACCGGGCCGAGGCAGGTTCCCTTCCTGGCCCTGCCCGTGGGCAGCGGGGTGCGAGCCTAAAACGATCAGAGATGTGTGTACTGCCGGCCACCTCCCCTCCACCGGCGCCCCAGGCTCACTGCTGGGTCTGGGTCTGGGTCCGGCTCACCCCAGACAGGCCGGGTGCGGCGTCTGCAAAAAGCTTGGCCCCTACCCTGCCTTAGCCCTGGGGGTCGCCCTGTCCCTCCCTCCTGACTCCAGGCTGCCCCACCCAGCCCCGGGACAGCGGGCGGCCACTTTAAACTCTCTGGGTGCATCTGAGAACCCTCCTTGTTCCCCCAACAAAGAGGTCAGTGTCTGGGTTCTGTGCCCGCTGATAGCCATCAGAAACCCTATCTCTACCGCATCCGCTGTGACAGACGTATCTGAGGCTGTTCCCAAACTCGCCATACAGCGCGTGAAGTAGCGTCGAGGGGAGGTGGGGGCCTGCAGAACGCCTCCCCAGGGCACTGCGGGCAGGTTCGCGGGAGGTCGGGAACCTGGGGCAGGCCTGGGGTAGGCTCTGATCGGGGCCTGCACTCGTCTCTCCCTTTCAGCGTGTCCTGAGAAGCCCCCGCCTGCGTCCCACTCACCATTGCCAGAGGCAATGGCTTTCCGCCCTTGGCACCAGACGTTTCATGAGGCAAGAGAAGCACGACACAGGCGGCTCAAGGCATGGCCCCATCTGGCAAAGAAAGACCCATGATGCACCATGCCTGGGCTGAGCGCCTTCCCTTGGGAATTACTCCCTATCACAGCCAGAGGAAGAGGGGCCTCGCCAGGAGGGCACCGGGCTCATGCACCGCAGCGCCGTCTCCCCCTGGCCCGGGATTGTCCTGCTGGGAGTCTGGCTGCGCCAAGCAATGACCGCTGACAGTGGCCTTTGGAGGGGCCCCATGGAGGGCCGCTCAGAGCCCATCTGTGTGCGGTCAGCTGGTGGCTGGGCCTGGATGGTCCCACGTCAGCCTCACAGGCAGGGGCTTGCTGCTCAGACCTGCTGCCCTGCGTGCCATCCAGGGGGTACCCTCCCAGCTCTCACTGATGTCACGGTGGCCTCGTGGCTAAAGTGGGAGAGCCGTGGGAGGACAACTGGACAGACGGATCGGCGGGCCGAGTGAGTGAGGGCCCATTTGTTCATTCATCCATCCATCCACCCATCCTGCCAACATCTATCCATTCACCATCTACTCATCCATCTACCTTCTACCCATTCATCCACCATCCATTAATCCATCAACACATCCACTGACTCACCTATCTATCCACCATCCACCCGTCCATCCACCTTCTACCCATCAATCCACTATACACCCGTTCATTCACCTTTTACCTGTCCATCCATCCATCCATCCACCATCTACCCGTCCATCCACCATTCTTTATCCGTGCACACATCCACTCACCCACCTGTCCATCCACCATCCTGTCCATCCACCATCCAGCCATCCATCCACCTTCTGACCATCCATCTAGCATTCAACCTTCCATCTACCATCTACCTAGCATTCAACCTTCCATCTACCACCCACCCGTCCACCCACCATCCACCTGTCCATCTATCACCCATGTATCCATCCACCCATCCATCCACCCTCCTCTTACCATCCACACGGCAATCCACTCTCCATTTATCCATCCACATATCCGCTCACCCATCCATCCACATCCACCCACCCATCCACCATCCATCCGTTTATTCATCCACACATCCACTCACCCACCCATCCATCCACCTCTGCCCATCGTTCTGCCTTCCACCCATCAGTCCACCGTCTACCTGTCCATCCATCCATCCTCCCATTCATCCACTCACCCACCCATCCATCCACCTTCTACCCATCCTTTCATCATTCCCCCTGCCATCCACCCATGTATCCACCTTCTACCTGTCCATCCACCATTCACTACCTGCTACTTGTCCATCTACCACTGACCCATCCATCCAGCATCTATGTGTCCATCCATCCACCCACCCACCCATCTATCCACTAACCTCCCGTCCATCCACCATCTACTTGTCCATCCACCATTCATGTATCTACCTACCCACCCATCCATCCACCCACCATCCACCTGCTACTCGTCCATCTATCATCCACCCATCCATCCAACATATCCAGCCATCTATCCACCATCCACGTGTCTATCTACAATCCATGTGTCCATCCACCTTCTACCTGTCCATCCACCATCCCCCCTCCATCCACCATATACCCTTCCATCCACCCTCCACACGTCCATCCACCATCTTCCCGTCCATCCATTTTCTCCCCATCCATCTACCATCCACCATCCTTCTTCTACCCGTCCATCCACCATCCCTCCTCCATCAACCATCACCTGTCCATCCACCATCCAGCCATCCATGCACCTTCTGCCCATCCATGTAGCATTCAGCCTTCCATTCACCATCTACCTGTGCATGCAGCCATCTACCCATCTATCCACCATCCACCTACCCATCCACCGGCTACTCGTCCATCTACTGTCCATCATCCATCCGCCATTTATCTGTCCATCCACCATCTATTTATCCATTCAATATCCACTCAACTGCCCCTCCATAACCATCCACCCAACCATCCACCCATCCCTCTACCATCCATTGTCCATCCACCTTCTCCCAGTCCATCCACCGTCCATCTACCTTCTCCCTGTCTATCTGCCATCCATTTATCCATCCACACCTCCACTCACCCACCCATCCATCCACCATCCATTTAACCATCCACACATCCACTAACCAACCTATCCATCCACCACCACTCATCCATTCACCTCCATTTATCCATCCACGCATCCACGCACCCACCATCCATCCACCATCCATCTA